GACGATGGCGCGTCAAGTTATATCGAGCGTCAGGACGATGGCGCGTCAAGTTATCATTAAAAGTTGATGCAGAATGCAAAAATAAATTTAGCTGGATTGAGAAAGAGGCAGACAATGTGCGTTCAAAATTTAATTTGAGAATTTATCAAGCCGAGTGCTGCACTTTGCGTTTGATGCGATATAAAGTAAGAAGACAATTGTTTACTTTCTCGCATTTAATTCCGGCCGCGCCTAGCTCTAGACGCAACTCTATGCATCCCCGACTGGATATTCAACACTTTGCGCTGGATGTAAACCATGGCAATTTCATCATTTGTAGGTAGATATCCAGTACCATACTGGCTTTAGGCCTTCCGTACAGTGGGTGTCGCATTCAACGAGGTTGCCGGGACCGGCTTGTTGTCCTCGTTGGATCCAACCTCTCGTTGAACATGACTAAGGCTAAAGTAAAGAAAGGAGACAAGTTATTATATTATAGGGTGTTCCAATACCAGTAATTAAAACAGTTTATTCCCCCTGATGACGAAAATCTCAAACTCAAACAGCATCAGTGTGCGCGTGTTTGAGCTGTGTTCTGACCGTCATTTCTGCATTTTTAAATATTATTTTTTCCTGAACACTTCTCGTGTGGAAACATACCCTCTCACATCTAGGCTTACATCTACATAAAGTAAAGGTGAGAGCTTGGATTTTCTGATCAGGGGAAGAAAAGAAAATTGAAAAAAATGAAGGTCTCCATCTAGAGTAATCTAGACCTACCCATCCAGAGTTCATCCAGTTTTTACACAGCCCGCATCACGTTCATACCCACCCCTTCTCATCCCTACCGTAGGCTAACCCTCGCCCATCCTCTTGGCTTTGGGGCCTAAATTAGGAGGCAGGCTAGTTTTAGCAATACAATGTGTTAGGAATTGGTGATGGGCCTAGTGCTTCGCGTGAGATGGAGACAAATTGTTTGCTTTTGGGGCCGCATATTGCTCCTATTTGGTTATCGCGACCTCGATGAAAACGACTTCGGTCTGTTTGCAACCTCGTTGGAGCCAACGTACATTTACAGAGATATAGAAGGGAAAATCCGGGATTAAGGACAGCCTCGTTGGAGCCGCCTTCTCGTTGAATGTGACCTCATTGAATGCGGCACCCACTGTACTGATTTTGATGGCCATTGAGTATAACATTCATACAGTTCAGAGTGGTCGCTCGCTACAAAGTCCTCCCCCGGAATTAAGGCCAAGGTCGGCAGTGAGAATGGAATATTTCCTTCAATTTTATGATTTTCTGTTTATGTAATATTATTACTCTATATCCACATGCTCATCTTGGGAAATACATTCTAGAGTCTAAAACCGTCTTATAAGTCCATGAAAATGCAACCTACAGACAGGCAGGCAATCACATAATTCAGTTTGTGCTAAAAGTACGGCTACAATAGGCCTTAGTTACGCCGGAAAAAATAAACGCTACGATGTAAAATTTGGTATAGATACAAAGGTCGTCTTCTCCTCTTCACGCTACTATCTGCCTTGACCTTCTGAGTTGTTATTTTCCATCACAAAATTCATGCCACTCAAAATGCAAATGAAAGTCTTCATAGCGTCATATGAAGCCATTGCTCGAAGGTTAAGTTTACCTCTTCCAAGAAAGTAAAGTTTTCTATGCTGGTGGCCATTGCTGAGTTCAACCATGGCCCAAAAGGTAGCAGTATTGTGATGGAGCTGTATGGTCAGAGAGAGAGAACCAATTCAGCTTGGTGACATAACGGGCAGCAATTCGGATTGCTTGAAGTCAAAGGTATGAGGAGGAGAAACTGTCTAACAGAAGGTCTTTGAGGCACAGGGCATGAACTAGAAGGGAGAGGGAGTTGGAAGAACTTGAGGGTGGTCCAAGCCATGCTGCTGGCTCATTTTAAATTGTTTTTTTCGGGTTGGAAACATCATGACAACAGGAGGCAAGTGCACTTTTGCAATAAAAGCTTATTTTCTCAAAAACCAATTTTTCTGCATTTGAAGTTACAAATCTCCTATGTGGTTTGTGTGACATGCTTTAAATTTGCACCATGTCTTTACTAGCATCAAATACAAACTTTGTCTCATTCATATGTATATATGGCGCAAACAATTTTTTACAAGATTTTTTAAAGTTAGGGGAGAGCTTATAATTGCTTAATATACATACACAAGTTTTAAAAAATCGTAAAAAATACAGCTATTCATTTATTGAACTGAAAATCAGACAAAATGTGCATGATGTTAATGATAGTATGTGTGCCAACTTTCATGACTGTTGGGCGGATAACGAAAGAAAAATGTTCCATGGATATATACTAAAAAATCCAAGATGGCGGCTGTTTTCCCCCGTTTCCATGGCAACCAAAGCATTTTTCAAAAAATGAAATGTATCACTAGTGAAGAAAATCTCTGTGGGGTATGGTTATCACAAGTAAGTAGATGGGAAGTTACCCGTCTAGCTTTTAGTTTTCACTGTAGACCTTGGCCTTAACCGCGAGAAAGTAAACAATTAACAAGAAAGGCAATCTTGTAGTACGGTGGCAAAGGTGTTGCCTCCTGAACTCATTGACGACCCGCCAGGTCCCTGTAGTACCGTGGCAAAGGTGTTGCCTCCTTAACTCATTGACGACCCGCCAGGTCCCTGTAGTACCGTGGCAAAGGTGTTGCCTCCTTAACTCATTGACGACCCGCCAGGTCCCTGTAGTACCGTGGCAAAGGTGTTGCCTCCTTAACTCATTGACGACCCGCCAGGTCCCTGTAGTACCGTGGCAAAGGTGTTGCCTCCTGAACTCATTGACGACCCGCCAGGTCCCTGTAGTACCGTGGCAAAGGTGTTGCCTCCTTAACTCATTGACGACCCGCCAGGTCCCTGTAGTACCGTGGCAAAGGTGTTGCCTCCTGAACTCATTGACGACCCGCCAGGTCCCTGTAGTGCCGTGGCAAAGGTGTTGCCTCCTGAACTCATTGACGACCCGCCAGGTCCCTGTAGTACCGTGGCAAAGGTGTTGCCTCCTTAACTCATTGACGATGCGCCGGGGGGACCCGGCAAGGTCAACAAACGCTGAAGACGCGCCGGGTCCCGGGACCCGACAAACTGTACCATTTTTTTTGGTACCTGTCTAAAAACTAATAGAATTTCAAGGGGAATGACTCCTAGTGATAGTTAAACCATTTATCTTTATCGCTGTTGTGTCCTTTTGACCATTGGTCGCCCGAATTGTCTGTTATAAGCGATCTTGTGAAACACGCTGACCTGACCTACTTTTAATGTAAACAAGAAACATGGCTGCCAGACGCGCCTTGTTCACTACCAGCGAAGCGATCGAGATGTTGATTCAGGAGGGATCAGATAACGACGATGCTCCTTACCAAGCACTTGAAGAGAATGGTGATGACTGATCCTTCTTTTGAAGACCTCAGTAGCGACGAGGAAGGTTTGATAGTTAGAAGGGATAGTGGGACAAGTGAGGAAGAAGAGGAAATGGGCGTCGCCTCTGGATCAGCTGATCCTGCAAGCCAAGCTTACCCAAGACCTGGGCCTAGCTCAGGAGCTACAACTTCTAGATCTAGATCTAGACCTTTTCGACCTACGTTAGAGCCAGCTGTTAGCAGCAGTGATGAAGACACACGTGCAGAACATGTCAGTGGTGGTTGGGAGGAGGAGCAAGATGATGAGGGGATGTTCGACTGGGTGAAAAACTGTCACGGTTTCCCCTTGGAACCACCATTTACTGGGGACAGCGGCTTCAAGACTACTATGGCTGCTGACGCAACTACCTTCGATTTTTATAAACTGTTTGTTACTGACACTCTGGTCAAGACGATCAAGACACAGACCAACCTGTACTTCAGACAATTGTTGGCACAGGTCAGACGACGTTCCACTCAGCTGTCTCCGAGATCCGTTTTTTCAAACTGGGACACTGCCAACACATCTGTTGTTGGTACTGTGAGGGCCAACAGAGTAGGTATGCCGAAAGACCTAAAGGTGAATAATAAGGGAGATGTGGACTACCGCCGCCACAACCAGACTGTCGCTCTCCTGTGGAAAGACAAGAGAGAAGTCCACCTCCTCACCACTCGTCATGGACCACAAGTGCAAGAGGTTCTGACTCGCACTGGTGAGAGGGTGAACAAACCCACCGCTGTGATCGACTACACCACCAACATGTCTGGGGTCGATCAAAGCGACCAGCTTCTGAGCTACCAGCCCTTGCATCGCAAGACAGTAAAGTGGTGGAAGAAACTGGCTCTACACTTGCTCACGTTGGCCATGGTCCAAGCCCATGTGCTATTCAACAAGCACCAAAAGGTTCACGGCAAACGGAGGTGGAAGCAGGAGCAGTTTATCCGTTCGGTCTGTTTGGGTATCGTCAGCACCCAGAGGACAGCAGATCTCGACACACCTCAGCCAGATCCTGCTACAACTGTAGACAGGCTCACAGGAAGACACTTTCTGGAGCACATCAACGCTGAGGGCCAGAGACTGAAGCGCCTTGCCTGTGTTGTGTGCTACGCAAAAATGATAACAGCTGGTGCGAGCAGAGCAGACCAAAAAAACAAGGCACCCTCCACATCCTTCACATGCAAATCGTGCCAAAAGCCTCTGTGTCCCACGGCTTGCTTTGAGGCATTTCATTCAAAGGAGAACTATGCTTAGTTATCTTTTTTATTTGTTTGACTATATTATAATGTATTACATGTACAGTTTGACATGTAGTGTGTAAGCATGAGTGTGTACGTGCGTGTGTGTTTGTGTGTGTGCGTGAGTGTGTGTGTGTGTGTGTGTGTGTGTATGTGTTTGTGCGTGTGTGTGTCCATTCCATGTACCTGCTTCTTATTTTAGAAGGAAACTGTTCATTGTGTTTCATCTTTGCTATTTGATCTTGAATTTTGTTGGTGACGTTACGTTTCTCTTTCAGTTTCAGTACCGGTATTCAGCGAAACTGTATAGGCCTATATTTGGACATTGACATTATTCTTTGATTACCCTTTGTATTACTTGTTTGAAATCATTCTATTTGACTACGATCAATTTTGACAACCATGTGCTTAGTTCATCTAAAAAGGTTTTTTTCACTTTTACATACATTTTTTTTTCTCACAAAAAACATAATTTTTTCAAAGATTTTTTGAAAATAAATGCATTTTATGTAAATATACATAATGATCTTACTTTTTGTCAAATGTTATACTTGTAATGTTTTTAGGTTTATCCCACTGATTTTTTGAAAATAGGTAAAAATCATGCGTCTCCAGGGAAATTCTCGGTGAAAAACTGGCGTCTTTAATGAGTTAATCCAAAACTGCTCAACATTGTTGCTCAAGTCTAAAGTGAAAGAAGTTTTTTTATGAGACACTAGATTGCAAACACTGGATTTTTAGTTTAGTCAGCAAACTTGGTCAAATGCTTGTTAGTCAACTTAGTGTCTTGGATTGTTTTGTTTTGTTTTGGTTTTTTTGTTTTTTCAAAATGCATTTTAATTCAGTTGCCTATAGTTAACAAATATGACACTTTTCCCTTCCAAAAACATAGATGTTCCAATATATTGGATCTGGATCTCACTCTTTCGGAGAGTGCACGTCCGCCTTCGCGTGAATTTCCTCCTTTTTTGAAATTCCTGAGTGGCAGCTATGAATAAAAAGGGGACCAATTGCCATTGAGGTTGCTTCTAGCTCCTCCTTGACCAGTGGATCAAGTAATTCAGAGTGTATTTTTGTCCATAGTTCAAATAATTATTCAAACAAAAGTATGACACCACTGAAAATTTGTTTTCACCCCAATAAAACAAAACATAGAAATAATAAATAGTGAAAATATTAGAGTCTACTTTGAATTGTTATCCGACAATGAATGTTCTAGAACACCCTAAAAATGCCAGCAGTTGGGGTTAAATTGGTATTTCAACCTCTGGCCGTCAGTGAGTTGAGCCTTTTCAGTCAGCTTTCGTAAGTCCGGAAAGAAAGAGGTTTACAGTAGTATCACAATGCAGATGGTGACTGCACTTAGGAATCATCTGTAGTACTGTTTGGAAATGACAGACGACCAAAATCAGAAATGTGCCTCACATCTCCAAACAAGACGAATGCACATTATGTATGACAGACACAAGACCAAAAAGCGGTAAAAATACCTGTGTGCGTATGGGTACATGGTGTAGGTTACAGAACAAGAGCAAATGTTTTTAAAGTGCCGACAATTAGCTTTCAGCTAAAGTAGCTAGGTCATGTGACCCTCCAACTTTGCGCTGTCAAGACGTGGGAACTTTGCCCTCCTGGCCAGGGACTTCTCCGAGAGCTTGCGTTTGGCGGCAGAACACCGGTCGTCCTCGCGTGATGTGGCTGGACAGGGGAGCGTATGGCAGTTCATCAGGTGCACGCACTGCTGTTCCTCATCATAGACACATTTGAATCTGTAGGAAAACAAATCAGAGAAAACAATGACAGTAACCAGTAACAGTCAACGGAAATGAGAACAAATTGTGCAATTTGCTAGAGGTCCGGGTCCCTAAACTTCTTTATAAACACTTAATTTTTAGTAAAGATATTTGTTTTAAAAAGCATTTCGGCACTAGCAACAAATTATGTCATAATTTAAGTGTAAAAAATTAGAGGTGTTACAAGAGAGTCACAAACCCAAAAAGATAAGGAGAGACAAGGACGATGGATGTTTGACAGGAAAGAAAAGGAGCAAACCACACCAGAGCACCCACCAACCAACCACTTACAAACGTTGCACTGGGCCCTACCTGCAGTCTGGCCGGCGGCACCTCCAGTAGGAGACCTCGTTCATTGTCCAGCTGAGCAGAAGCTGCTCCCCACACACCACCAGGCAGTTGCTCTGACTGTCAAAGTGAAAGTCCATCACGCTACCAGGGGCTGGTGGGCTCAGGCTGGTGCCTTGATTGCTAGTGCCGGCCAGTTGTAAGACCTGCTGAGTCTGAGAGCAAGTACAAGACAAAACATAAACACGAGCTTGAATAAAGAGAAACACATCAACATAATAACCGTCACTCAGTGCAGGAAAAAGGTAAGACAGACGAAAACAATGAAAGCAAACTTGCACGTGAGTTTGTCAACAAAAAAAGAGAAAGTAGTTTTCAACACAAATTTGACAAGAACTATCAAACCATGTTCAGGAACAGTGGTGGATTTTCTGGGTCAGCCCTTTCAGATGGAAGGATCAAAGTATAGTGTATGTAAGCTGCTTTCAAATAAATATGGACCTCCAACAAGCACAAAGAATCAAGTATTTGTGAGGGGAAATCAAAAGCAAAAGTGGTGTTCAACAAAATACGTTGAGAAGATTGCTTCTATAAAAATATAAGCTACCTCCAGTAGCTGCTTAAGTTTGTTTAAAACTTCTCTTCCTCTTCCGATGTTAAAGGTAATCATCAGTTCATGATGGACAAACTCTTATTATTATTACAGTGGAGTCCACTTATAACGAGTCCAGAAATAACGAGAAGTCTGTTATAAAGACACTATTCTAAAACCCCGTTTTTTTCCTTCTATATCTTTGTAAATAAAATACTGCTAGATTATCTAGGCATACTGTGCCTCTCACTTCTCCGGTGCGGGACGGAGAGGTCACAGTGCTGTGATGGATGGAGTGAATGTGTGACGCGCGCAAGAAGACGCAACGCACAACAGGGAGTGGTGGGGTGGGGGACAACACAGCCGGCGAATTAGCCTAGAGCCAGAGCCCTTTCTTTCTGATCTCCAGCGTCGAGCTGTCAACATTGCTAGTGCTAGAGAAAGAAACCTGATTTGATTTTTGATCATGTAAGATGTAGAGATCATGTTGAACAAAATCATCATCAGGGGAAATACAAAAAGGAATAAACAGAACACCAAGCTCATAGATTAGGCCTACTTTACTATTTCCGTTGAATTTATTACTGGATCCCTTATAACGAGAATCCTGCTATAACGGACATTTCGCACCGGTCCCCTCCATCTCGTTAAAACAGGATTCCACTGTATTATTATTATAATTATTATTACTATTATTATTATCATTATTAGTATTATAATTATACCCAGGAAAAGAAAGGTATGTTGTATTTTACCTCTAGAATAAGGTTCTGAGAAGCACTGTCTGTGACCATCGCAGTCCTGGCATTCTGCATGGACTGAGCCACGTCCTGAAATCTGGGCACACAGCTGAGAATTTCATCAGAGTCGAGGACATTCCTCAGGCATCGGACATAGTCAGAGTAGACAGAGACTAGTGACTGGTCCAAGGTCTCTGCAGATCTACGCTGTAACATTTTCACTACCTGGAAAAAAGCACACATGGAATAAAAAGCTGCTCCCTGTCACTTTATGATAGATACATCTCACATTATCATGCCACTTTATTTCTGTGCTTTCTGTCAAAGCACATAAGCTAGTCAACGCAGTGTGGTAGAGCATAAAGTTGAGTTTTGAATTAAAGAGGTATCACATAACCATACCAGGTTCCAGAGGAATGAAAAGCTACTTTAAAGTATTATATTAAAATATTTATTTTTAGTCACATATCCTAAAAGAAAGCAGCTCACCCAACTTCGCAATATCTCCCTTGACATTTCTGGTTATTTCTTCATTCCAATCTACCATTTCTATCCCCCAAGAGATATACAATGTTGTACCTGTTGAGTGCTTGTTGTTACTATTCATATTGTCCCACTGACTGCCAAGTATCTATTCACAGCTGAGGAAACTGAAGGAATTACACAAAGTAACTTTCCCACTAGGGATACAATATCCTATAGTAAGGAGTTGAGAGATTAACTCACAACTTTTACAAATTGCAAATCATATCAATCATAGGCCTAACACTCAACTAAATTACTTTTCAAAATTGCAAGTCATATCAAACATAAGCCTTACCACTCGACTATAATCAATCATGACTGTACCCCAGCACGATGAAAACACTACTTTCTGTTGCCTCTTAACTCTTTCCCTACCACAAGCTTTTGCAGCTCACAGAACTGGCCTCGCAGGACCGAGAGCCGCAAAATACGGCTCGAGTGGCTCGTTATCTACTCCAATCCAGTAATGAAAAGATACAAAATTCTCGGCCGATCCACATTTTCAAAATAATGGAATAGACTTCCTGTTAGCAAATACAAAAGAAAATATTGCACTGACAGACGATTTTTAGTCATTTCAGCGCTTTTTTTGTCCCATTCGAAACGCAAATATGAGGGGAAAAAGCGCTCCCCTGACTTTAGTATACGTCTCAGACTTTCACTTCTATAATAGATACAAATACATAACTTTCAGTATTTCTTTGCATTACTTGTGGCAACCTACCTGGGAAGTTTCAATGATGATGTTGTTGTACTTTTTTAGTTATGACCTTTCAAAGCTGGAAAATTGTTGATTTCATATGAAACCTTCGATATTGCATAATCACTTTTAGAAACCACAAAGTAATATAATTGGAATAAATCTTCAATATTGTATCGCCATCTGATAGATTATTTTTTAACCTTCAGTTTGATGGGCCATATGATATGGTTTGTGCGTGTTTAGTTGGATGTTTTGACATTTTCCTTTGGCGGGGTAGAGGTGTAAAAATAGGTCAGGGAAAAGCCCTGGGCCAGTGGTGGATTTTGGCCTGGTAGGAAAAGAACTAAGCACTAACTCGCTACCTAAAAATTACAAAGTTCTGACATTTTTTACTGTTTTGAGTTACTAGAGTAAAGGCACTATTTGTGGCCATTTCTCACTTAATTTGCTCTAGAAACCAAACGAATAGAGATAACTAAAATATTTTTGGCCTTCAAACTTGCACATCCTCTGGCCAATAGATGTGTTATGGTCTAGAGCATACTCAGCTAGATTGCCAAGAAGAATATTCATTCTAAAACACCATGTGAAGGGACCAGTTTGCGATCAGGGCACCTTTATGCGGTCATCGAGGACACATTATGCGGCTAGGGAATTGTGATGCGATCACATGGGGATATGTACACGACCAGGACCTCCCAACATGATCTTGTAGTGTACCGTGGGGCGGGGGTGTTTTTTAAGAAGACGAGCCGACAGGGTGGCCTCGTCGTTGACGGACTTTGGCCAAAAGGTTGGAATCCCGACAGTATGATACTCTTGAGCTTTGGCTTTTTATTGCCCCCCCCCCTCCCCCCCTCGGCGTCCTCTGGTGAGATCAAGTGATCCGCCTTCAAAATGACCATCTATGTACAGTAGGGTGCTATAAAATAAACAACAGGAGTCACTGTGGCGTAGTGGTAAGACACACGCTTCATATGTTGAAGATCCCGGGTTCGAGTCTTGCTGGGCCCGCATTTTTCCTGAGTGATATGGCCAGAGCGGCCGTCTCCTATAAGTTATATGACCTTCCTGTGTCGAAAGAGACGATTAAACTACCAACTCAGTCTCGGTAAAGCAAGCAACAAAGAAAGAAGTCATGGGAGAAACAGGTGAGGTTAGTGAGAACGAAATAAGAAGCTTAACGATGATCGGCTCTTGTTACATTGACGACAAAAAACAACTTTGACAGATTAAAAAATCAATGAATACGTAAATACTGCCAGGAACTTTGACAGACACCTTCACAAACGACCCGAGTGTATCTTTTTAAAAAATCAATAATTCTGCCCCCACTTCGGTGTCCAATACTCAGCAACGCTCAGGCTTTGAATGAACTTTGGTGACCCCTGCAAACGTAGATTCTACTCACATGATGACATGTGATGCGAGCACGCGCAGGTTCACTGACCGGTCATGTCGGCGAGCCCAATAAGCTGAAAATAAGACGTTTTCTTTTCTTTTCTTTTTTCTTAAGTGACTAGTCACAAATATTGATTTATTTTAACGGTGACACAGCGTATAGAATTCATAACTTGCATGCCACAAACGTTTCATTATCAGATCGGGAAAAACTGAGCGAATAACTCAATCGCGACCAGCAGAAATGAACTTCCTGAGGCAATTTACAGATTTCCCCAAATTCCCGGGACTCGCAGATTTTTTTCAAGAGGAAGTGACAGGGCAGTTTCTTCAGACTGCGCCCAATCTGATGGAGTCAGTCTTGATTGATCTACTATCGCATTGAAGTCAAGAACTACAAATCAGGCTTTCTGGTGCATGTAACCTAAAATGCTGTTAAATGGGCACTGTTAGTAATTGACCCCAACAATGCCCCTTCTCCAATGGAGTGGACCTTTTGTGGACGTCCCTGATTGCAAGAAGTCCTTTTCAAAAATAAGAGAATGACTATGCGGCCACCCCCTCCCTGAGTCCCCTTTGTTGTTTTCTTTATATTAAGACATTTACACATGATATTCATTCATTACAGAAACACATGAACCTATAATCAAATAAAAATGTGATAAGAAAGCTTTGTAATGACCATGGACAAGTGACCAGTCAAATTTTCACACATTGATATTTTGATCGACCAAATTCTTCAAACCACTGCCGCTTTCAAACTTTGCTGCCTATCGAGACCATCTCTGTTGTGAGCATGTGATTCATGCCAGTGCATCACGGGAGCTTGGTTTCCGTATGGAAAATGAAACAAGACTTGAGTTATTGACTTTATAAGGAAAGTGGCCGCATACTTCGGCCGGCCGCAAATAGTGCCTTTACTCTAGCACCATGAGGTCAGAAATTATAAGCTCTATCTGCTCTATCAAAACCATAAGATTATTTTGAGTCGTTATCAAGATATTCAAATTACATTTGAAAAAGCTTGTAATATGTGAAACTCAAAATTGTTTTATGTCAAATTTCTGAAAACTAGGTACTGAGCAGATAGAGCTTCGAAATTCTGAGGTAGTGCACAGTTGCTAACCTGTGAAGCAAAGGCAGACTGTGAGCCTGGCGGGTCGTGGTTGTGATTGCTGGAGATTTGTACCACCTGGGAGGTGGAGGCGTTGAGCACACACTGGAACGGGCAGCTGGGGATACGGCACTGCCAGTACACATTGCCGATCTGTGCGGTGGCTGGCATGAGAGGGTAGCCATGTAGGGTGAACACATTCTCGCTGCTGTGGGATGTGGGTGTTGGAGAGGGAAGCATGGCCTGCTGGAGAATTGAGGACGTCGAGCCAGAGACCATGGAGGGGACCGAGATTTGCTGTAGATTTGTGGACACTGTCAATGGGAGCTGCTGCGGCTGTGGCTGTTCAGACTGTGGGTCACTTACGGTCAGCAGCTGTTGAGAATGTTGTTGTGATGGCAACTGAGTATACACAGAAACAGATGGAAATTGAGAATTTTTCTCCTGGTGACCACTGAAGGTGTTGAAACCGATTTGCCGGTCCATAGAAGTGAAAGAATTTTGTTGTAGAGAGGTACACTGACTAGGTACTATATTTGTGTAATTTGTGGTCCCGATTTGCTGGAAGGATGTCTGCTGAGGATATTGCGTAGTATAACTGCTCTCTGGGGTCTGCAGGAGCTGAGGTAGGTTGGTCACAGTGTCCGGCTCAAACAAGATGTGGTGCGGCTCGGCACTCCGCTGCGACTTCATGTGTTGTTCCCGGGAGTCAAGGTAAGAGCTGATTCTCTCCGTCTCCTCATGGCACTGCTCGATGAGATAGTCTGCGGCTGTCACACCACTGCTGCTGGTGCTGCTTATTGTGCTGCTGGTACTGTTGTTACTGCTGCTGCTGCAGCTGGGGATGGTGCTGTCGGGCTCGTTCAGCGACCCTAAGCTCTTCTTACCTCCTATATCTTTGTGTGACTTTGACTTAAGCAGCAACTTTTGTTTAGCTGGCTGTGGTGGGTTCGCTCGCGTCCTCATCACAAGCTGGTAGATTTTGGTCAGATTGGGCAAGAACTTTAGCAACATTTTGTTACCGGAGACAATTTTCTCCATTCTCCTCTTCTCTTGTTCGTAGATGAGTTTCGGCGACAATGTCACGTCCATGACCGCCCGTCTCCTGACCGCAGCAATCAGAGCCTGTGACACGTGGTACTTGACGTCGGGCCGGTGTGTGTGGTCAAGCTGGCTGCGCGTCACATGCTCTGTCTCTCGGTCCACCACACAGCGGAAGGGACAGCCCTCCCGGACACACGCCCACCCAGTACTCGTCTCACTCTCGCTCTTCTTCACCAGTGGATGACCATCCAGAATCCTTTTGTCTGGGTCAGGGTCCAACCACGATGGCAACAGCGCGGTGAGTTGAGTGTAAGCTGACTCAATCTCGATATCGTAAGGAGGGTCGTCGAGGTCAAAGTCAAAGTTGCTCCCCTTTGCATCCAAAGCCAGCTCACTGCTTTCATCACCCTACGAGAAGTAAAGGGGCAGAAAAAGGAAAAAAACAGTGATACCATTGTCATTATTCCCAACATTATCAACCTGAAAAGAAAAATAGAGAAAATGCTTTATATGTTTTATCTGACAATTAACATAAAAAGGCAAATATTCTGATTATTTCCAGCTTTGTTCGCTTAACCAAGTCATTAAGTATATATTATTCCAGACTCCACACCCCCCCCCCCCCCCCCCAGCCTTTTTTCCTTTGGTTTCTATAAAAAATCAGTTCCCCCCCTTTATAAGATAATTTTGAAACCCCTAATCTGTAAATTGTATGTTATAGTATGAGCATAACACGCTACTCAACACTAACAGGTAATTTAGAAGGCACAGTACTCAGCCTTGAGGTTAAAGAAAAGGACCAACACCCCCCCCCCCCCCCCCCCCCAAAAAAGAAAGAAAAAAAGGAAGGATAAATCATCAAAGTGAATTTTTATTTCATCCGATTCATCTGTGTTTAAATGCCACTGCAAGTATTACAACCATTAGATAGAATGCAGCTCCAACTGGTTTAGCAGTAGTCTATATTTGTGAGGCAGCATGGTGAAATTAAGACGCTCGTCAAAATAATGAAATCAAGTAAACCTATATTTTTTTGCTTGTTTGGCAACTTTTATTGAATTTTTGTTTTTTGGCTAAACATCAATGTTTAAAGTCAGTGTTTTTATGCTCCCGTCAACACTTGTGTGTGTGTGTGTGTGTGTGTATGTGTGTGTGTGTGTGTGTGTGAGTGTGTGTGCATGCATATGTCCATGCCGAACAAACCTCCGAGTCATCTAAAGCGGCTGCGTCCAGCTGGTCCTCAATGAGGTTGGCCGAGCGGCTGGACAAGCTCTTGACCTTATAGAGTGTGGACTTGAGGCTCTCGTAGTTGGGAAGCTTGGAAAGGAACTCGCTGTCTTTTCCTTCTGACTTGAGACGTGCAATCTCCTCGTCATAGATGATCTTGGGCGACAGGTCACTCTCAATGCTCACCCTGGACACAGACAAAAAATAAGAGTAAATGCGATTTTCGTGGTGAATATTTTACATCCTCATCTGTTAAAGAAATCCCCACAAAAAATAGCATACAAACAACAGAAGCCACCCACCTCGCCCTTGACTGAAAAATGCACCTCCCTTTCACATCTAACGATACACCAGGAAGAACAGAGTAAAGAAAGGTTTTACATCCTCATTGACACAGGGATATAATTATAAATAAGAAAACAGTCGCTTCTACAAACTTCTTACCACAAGTCTGGACTACATGGGATTCATCTACGGTGGGGAAATGGGGATATTCGAAAACATATTGGTTGGTCGCCTGCCGAAGACATGACTCATTTTGCAGAAGGCATCTGACCATGTACAGTTGAACTTACTTTAATGACCACCAGTCCAAGACAATCACTTGTACAAATGACCGCTTCTCACCTCACATCTTTTTCGATATATTATAATGACACTGTCCAAGAAATATACCTGTCTAAGACAACCACTCTCCGCAACAATGGACGGCACTGCATTTTTTCAGGGAAAAATCAGGCAAACGCATAACCCGCATGTCAACCCCTCAGAAAAGCATAAAAGATTTATTGACTGAAAACGCAGGCAGCTGTTACGTCAATCAGCCAAAATTTAGAGATTTGCTCATACCAGTGGCACGACAGTAAATCCTGAAATACGAAATCACCTCTTCTTCATTTTGCGCACAAAGTTCTTCACAGCCAGACTGAAGGCGTTGACGGGGTGGTTGTGCTCCCCGCTGATCCTCATCAACCTCTTGGACTTGCTGTCGTAGCTACAGCGGAAGCTGCAGTTGCTGTTCTTGCAGCGCCAGTAGGTGGTGTACTCGCGCGTGTAGCTGATCCGCAGGACACAGCCGTTGACCACCAGTGCACGACTGCCACGATTTGTGGGCACAAACGAGATGCTGTAGCTGGCCGGGTCTGGCAGGGAAATCACCAAATGTTCTGGTTCCTCCAGTGGAGTTATCTTGGCAGTTGACGTCTGAGGACACAAGTTGTGTAGAGTGCTCCACTTAATAACAAATACAGATAAAAAGTGACCCTGCAAAGGACGGAGCGTGTACAGGAAACTTTGTGATTGTGTCAATTTGAAACATTGAAAATACCATCAGTGAGAGAGTTGGGGGTGGGGGACCCTACACTTGAAGCACACAACTGAATTCAAACATTCACCTGGTTTCCGCAAGTAAAATAGATGAAATGTGCATTTGGCAACAAGTTAAAAGGAAACTTTCACTTAAAAAGATCAATTAAATACAGCTTGAACTATTTAAATAGAAAGTGAACATAACTGATATCAGCTAAAATGAAATTTTTATAGCTTCTGTAAGAAGTTCACTCGCAAGAAGACAAACCAGCAAAAATAGCTCCAACACAGCTAAAATATGAGAACTATGAATGCATTAATGCTGGTTAAAAATTTACTATCTCTGACTCTGACACCAGTCAGAAATTAATTTTTTTCAGCCTGACAATTACGTTAAAGCATTGTTTCCATGGGCTTTACATACAAGGACAGTACAGCAAAGCCATTTTCCTGGCTGAGAAAGGCAAACTTTCCAAACAGCTGAAATGATTTATTTTGATTTTTTTTTAAGCAAATGATAGCAGCCCCCTGAACTACTGACCTTGACCTTCACTGTAGCATTACAATACTGGTCGATGATGTCATGGCTATCATAGAGGCTTGGAGCGGCGATGTCCATCAAAGCGTTGCTGCCGCTGCTGCTGCTGCTGCTGCGGTCCGGGGAGGCCTCATCGTTCTCCTCAGCATCCTGGTCCATGGGGTCGTTGTCCTCGAGGCTCAGGTGCTGCAGACGTACAGTGACAACAATTATAAGAGAATTTGGTTGATATAATCTCAGTAATAGCTTATCTTGTTCAATTCATTCAATCCACATTTTCAACAAAAAAAGTACATCGAAATGAAAATATTTTGATCTATGGAGAGCTATGACTAAACTTGTACAAATACATGTAATGAATATTAATAGTTTCAAATTTTAACTGCAAGATCTTTTACTCTCTCTAATCTTAAACATTAGTATACTAAAACATTTTTTGTTTCTTTTTTTTTTTTTGGTTTTGTTTTTTTGGGGGGGGGTTCAGTATGCCATGCACAAATCTTGCACAGCTGATAACATCATTCAGTATAATAATTGAACTGTAGAACCTATAAATGTTTACTGTTCAAGAAACTCATAGTAAATTCTCTCGAAGAATTTTGGCCACAAAAAGTTTAAGAGTGTGGTTATCAGAAAGGTAGTACAATAACCATTAAAAAGTTAAGATTTGCAATCCTCATATTCTTTCTTTTTCAGCTCATTAATATTGTACAAGAAAATGTTCATAGCATACGATATCAAAATTTAAAAAAAAAATTTTTCAGAGACTTAAAAAGTTCAATTTAATAAATGAAAAATAATTTTTACTCAATTAAGGTCTCTTATCACTAAGAGTGTTTGTAAAATATTACTGTTAAATCTTTAGGTGAGATGTCCTGTGTGCCATCAATGTTCACATCACCGAGCCCCCTGGATGTGCCAACAGTTTCCTGCCCTTCGACTGTGAAGTCATTGGTGAAGTACGTGGCACCTCTCTTACTGCTCACCGTCTCTTCGGGTTGGGTTTTTCTGTGACACAAAATGTTCGCATTCATTTGAGCTCACCTAACAATAAATTTGCCTTTGCCATACATTTTAGTTATATTAATCATAAAGTGTATAAAAACTACATTTGAGTAAGAAAATGAACTCTATCAAAACATTCTGTTATCATAAATTACTATTTTATATCAGCTCATAGATCGCTTCTTGTAATAAATACAAAGACCTTAAAAAAAAAAAAGAGTTATCATATCCAGTCTGAATTTTTATTGAATAAACAAGTACAATGTCACAGTGCAGTAATCCTAGACCATTAAAAACTGTAAAATGTCTGCCCTACATGACGATAAACCCTATATAATAATCATCTTTTTTTTTACGTTAAGAAAATAGCACATTTTCTCCATCAGACCAAGCTGTTGCATAGGCTCCATCTATGAAAAGTCACAATCAGTTTTTAAACCAGTTTCAGATATTTCTCCATACCATTGTTAACACCTGCCACCAGCAAGTAACAAAGATGACATTCTAAATTTGGCAAAGCAGAGGACAACACCATCATTTATGAAACAATGAGTACAGAATTTTTAGAACTAAAATTTCTGAAAAAGTAGTAACCTTATAGGGCTACATAGCTGCTTCGATAAAATTACCTTTATCTTCAGCTAGGAAATGTTGGGAAGGGAGTGATGCTCCGGGAAAAGAGGTGAAACCCAATTTAGAAAATTCCTTGGTCTCGTTCAACGCATTCTCCCAAACCCCCCCCCCCCCCCCCCCCCCGCTTGCCACTTCAAGTGGTGAAACGGAAGTGCCCCTTACTTTCATATTACCACTACATGTTGCCTTCTTACTAATCACTTATTCCAATTTTCATTTCTCATAATCATTTCTATGCACATTCTACAATACACATGTTTCATGATTATCTTATCCGTTCAATTTACTATAGTTTGAGGGGTCAACAATCCATTTTGGTAAATATTTGTCAAAGTGATTGCTGTATTTTGCAAACACACCTTGAGAATCTACAAACAGGCTGCGTAAAAATGGGGAACACCTACTGTTGGGGAAAGAGTTCAGAAGCTTCCCTATCACAACAAGACAAATGCAAGAGGTGACCGAACCATCACAATGTACTCACTTGTGCTTGTAGTTATAGAGAGACGTCCGCACGCTGGAGAAAGCAGGTAGACACTTCACGAGCTGCTCTCCCTTCTCCATGCTTCGCAGTTTGGCAATCTCCTGGTCATACACTCGCTTGGGGGTCAAGGTCGGGTCCTTGGACATTCTCGCTTTCAACAAGTAACTGAATTCACGAATTCGAAGTCTATGCGCATTGCTCACATGGGTGTGCTTGCCTGAAACCTAGAGGGAGCAAAAAAAGAATTCCTCTTATATTACTTATTGTTCCACTTTTTAAAAGGGTTCTTTTCATCCAAGCCTTTCAGTCTAAATAATGTTCTTTTCTTTAAGAACTAATTTTGTTTTGCATTCGTATTAACAGCAGAACACTTGTGCAAAAATAATTTTTTTTAACATCTCTCATTAAATGATATTTTCTTGTAAACAAACACACACACACCTTTAACTTCTGTAGTTTGAACAACCTGCATAACATTTGTTAACACATTACACCCTAACTCGCCCGGGATCGCCCGGGAATTCCCTTACGCGCTCCACCCTGACTCGCCCGGAACCGCCCGCGCCGACCCAGCGTCTTTAGAAACGAAAGTCTCGCCTTGACGAGACTCTGGGGCCGGGATTTTGATTTGCATAGTATAGCAAAAAGTTTCTTCTTTCGTTTGATACCGAAACGAAATTTTTCGGGCCAGTAGTTTTAGTATTAGAGCTGATCGAAGTGCGATCGCGTTACCGACACTTCGAAAGTGTCTCGACTTGTTGAAAAGCGACACAATTGAGTTCGAAAACGGAAATAACGATGGATTTGAGCAAAAATGAGCATGTGACAAATCAGATGGCTCAGATTTTGATGAAAACGTTGTAGGAAGAGTTTGGGGCGATTCCGATTGATCAGACGGAGAAAATCTAGAATTTAGACCTAGGGCCCGACCGCGAGGCTGAGAGTGAGAGTGACTGGTCGGACACCCCGATTGAACTAAAGTTAGAACATTTCCAACAGTTTGCGCATACATAAAGTTATATTTTTCTGAAACTACATTCAGTTTTCTTTTTAACTTTTATATTTTTCAGGATTTTTGGAATTTGTTTAGTATTTTTAAAATGTGTTTTTTAAAGGCTAGTATTCACGGGAGGTGGGTTCTTTCCCCTTGCTTAGGATCTAACAATGGACTTCCCGTCCAGGCCCTTAGGGTGTAATGTGTTAACAAATTTTAACACAAATGAATTGTTGGCCACATTTCCCTTACAGCAATGATATTCATCCTCGAACACAGATTTTCTTGCAAAAACCAAATAGTTAGGTCCTACTCTCTTATAATAATAATATATGGCATATATATATATCGCTCAACCCTGATTAAAGTACACAGGCTTTTACCAATTCATAAGGTCTATAAAGGGGTTGGGGGAGGGTTGGTAAGTGTTTTACGGTGCTCGCTACTGCATAAGGTCATATGAGCGCGCAGGATACATTAAACATTTTTCAACCAGTAGGAAATTTTTTATTTTGCCCGGGTGGCAGCCAACGCCTACTCTTTTCAATCTTACACCACCAAACGATCATTATCAAGCCCAACTTGCACACAGGCCCTCCGAGATTTTTCGCCCTTGTCTGACAAAGCTAGGTGTAGATCTTTCCTACCAGAAGATCAGGGGGGGTGGCTGAAAAACAGCAGTAAGAAGGAGCCAAGGAGTAGCAATAGAAAAGCTGCAGAAACAGCCAGGAGCCCAGAGGAGGGGGCAAAGGAGGTGAGGGGCTGGGGGCAGAAAGAGGAGACAAAAGCAGGAAAGGAAGTGAAAAGAGACAATTTTAGAGAAGAAAATTTTCGGTCACTACCCAGATTTGCACCCTGGACCTTTGAATGAGAAGCCAACACCTTAACCTCTAGGCCGCGAGAGCCCCCCAAGGGTTCCCCCCCCCCCTCACTTGTACTTTCCTCTGCAAATGTAAACTATCTGTGATCAACATAACAAGAGAGTCAGAATAAGATACAACCTATGATATAGCTTCACAGACAGAGGGAAAGAATTGACATTTTTTACTCAAAAGCACTGAGAACAACCAACAAGTAATTATGCAAAATTCATAAGTAAACACTGCTGCCAATCAAAAGCAAAAACAAAAAAAGATGTACACATATTTTCGAATAGAGCATATTCAACAGGATCTTACCTTGACAATGTCATTTAAGACATCGTTATACACGCAGCGATACAAGCATGGATCGACAGTGCACTTCCAATAAAAGCGGCCTCCGGTCTTCTGAGCATTCAGGCGCAATGTGAAGTCATTCACCACAAAGATCCTTTTACCTGAGAGGCACAAAAGTACGTAAAAATACAGTAATTTACCTTTCTTTGTATTTAAGAATGTAGAAAGTCCACTGCAGATATGATAAACAAGTACAATAAGTAACAGAAGGAGATTCAGAGAAACTGGGCTATAATTACCTTAGTTGAGAAAATATAGCAATATCAAATGACGATTTTTTATATGTTGGAAAAAGTGTTTTTCTTTTGCTCATGCCCATCAGTACAAATATTTTAGCAATTGAGGTGTCACAATTTGATGACGATTCTTTGAGAAATACTTTTTTGGTGATGATAAAACAGCAGATTTAAAAGTAAGTTACATTACGAGGATGAAGACACCACTGATACTAGTTATAAACACTATTTTGATAATAAAACTACTATTTGAGGAGCAATGCCCAGAAACTGATCAAATTTATGTATATTACAACATGATGTTAACTGCAACAGGACAGATGCCAGAGAAATAATTTGATTCAATTCCCCAAGCATGGCTTGTAAAAAGTCAGGCAATACAAAATATTTTTAGATCAACAAAAAGACATAAATAGCTTACATAGATTAAATGCCAAAAGAGACTTCTGGAGACTAGAAATAATTTATAATTTCAACAAAAAAAGACACAAAATATTAAAAGAAACATTTATGAATCTTGTATATTGCTCTAAAAGGCCCAGTTTCAAATAAGGGTGATTAATTATGGAACAGTACCTTGCTTGGACGGGATAAAATAAAAGCTGAGCTCTGGGAACTTGCTGGACCTGATGGGCGTTGGCGTGATGATCGACATGTTCATACAGCTCTCTTCCTGCTGTGACGACGGGGCAGACTCCTCAAGGAATACTCTATCCAGCTCCGTGATTTCTCGCCTTTTCTCCTGTGTTAGATCAATGTACTCTTTTCACTGTCCCTCTAAACATTGTTTTACAAATTAGTCAAACTGTTTCAGGTGATTGATATACATGACATTGCTGAAATGCTAAATGGTACAAGACCAAAAGAAAACAACAATTTTTTCAAAGTTGAGCAGAGTAAAGTGCTCTTTAAAACTAATAGAAATAAACAACCCTGTCATATTAACCACTCGTACAGACAAACATTCACAAATTGGCTTAACAGAGTTATTCACTATACATTTTTTTTCTTAAAGATGTGTACATCAGGAAGCATTTAGAGTGGTCACACCCCTATCTCAACTTCCAAAGATATACTCAGACCTATTGAATCTTTCCATTAACCAAACTGACATGAATTGATCAGGTTCTGTAATACAAGATACTATGACGAGCAATGTGTGTTTGCAGAGATAAGTCTGTTTACTTGATATATAAGCATAACATTAATATGATGGAAGGACTTTCGTAACGAGCGACTACTTTAACAAATACAATTTAAAAAAGACCTAACCCTACCCCCAACCCCTACTCTTACCCTAAACCCTCTATCCTACTCTGTTTCATAGTGGTCACTCGTTATGGAATTCCTCCCAACATGATATTGACAGATCTGAATACAGCTGCACATGACCCAGTGAAACAAATTTCCGAAAAGGACAAAGAGTAGGATTTCTTTTCTTTCTTTTTTTAAGCTGGAACTAAAATTACTATGCCAACAGAGGGAACGGCGGCATTGGTAGCCTACATTGGTAGCCTAGTGATTATGTTAACAGACCCATAATCGTGAGATTGCGGGTTCTGGGGTTCGAATCTCAGTTTGGTCCGATGTGACCTTGGGAAAGACACTTTACATGAATTTTCTATTTGGCTCAGTCCTTTCAGAGATAATATTGAACTCAGAGGTCACACACATTATGTAATCTAATAGTAATGGTGTTGATAGGAACGTGAAACCTATACCATTTCACATTTTGTTTCACAAAGGGAACAAACATTCTACCTCTCCCTTTCCAATCTCTTCTTCTTCATCCTCCTCAGCATCCTCAGAGACAGACATGGTCTTCCTCATGCGGTAGACATAGTGCTTGATACAACTATAGCCTGGTACTTTTCGAGTCACACCCAGAAGATCACCCTGTGCAGAGAGGACAGGAGAAAAATTCTGTGAGCATGAGGTTGTTGTTGTTCTTGTTGTGATTGTTCATCCACCAGCAGGAATAAAGAATAAATATTTGCCCTCTAATTCTAAGGGACATAAACAATTACTTTTTTTTTTATTATTCATGTTTACCTCAGAGTTTGTCCAGTTCATTTTCAAATGGTGGCAGACTGGTCTGTCATTAAGACATAAAGGTTCAAAGAGCACCAAAAAATGGTACAGGCAGAGAAAACAGTGAATACAATTCAAATCAGAAGAAAAAAATCTGCTGGAGAGACCTAAAGGCATAAAAAAAAAAGAAGGCGTGTGTGTGTGTGTGTGTGTGTGTGTGTGTGTGTGTGTGTGTGTGTGTGTGCGCGCGCGCGCATGTGTGTGTGGGGGGGGAGTCGTCAAAAAAAAAGAGCAAAAGACAAAAAGGAAAAAAAATGAAGAAAATCAACTGAGCACAATTTGGTGTGGTGAGGGACATAAAAACTGTACTAAACTTTTGTCAAAAGGTACAGTGAGTACAACTACAGCTCCTCCTACTACTACTATAACTATGACTGAAAAAAAAAAATTTTCCTAGTAGTAGGAAGAACAAACAGTCAGCAACCCATGGACCAAGCCAGAGAACTCAGGAGATGGTTCTAGTGATCCAGAGTCGTTATTGCTCCAACTTGCCGTGAACTACAATGGTACAACTCACATCAATATGAGATATTGGCCAGCTATGTTGACCAGACAAAGAACAACACTGACCAGCTAAAAGTAAACTGACACCTTGATACATTCAGAACAACAACAACAAAAATACTTAGGCCTCATAAGAATACACAAAAGTTTGGAAAAAAAAAGACATGTTTTAAGGAACAATTACTAACACAGAATGCCCTTAAAAAGAAGATGGGAATTAGGACATCACTAACAACTGAAGACAATGAGACACTGTCACCAGGGGTGGCGGCTTTGTGCAGTGGGCAGAAATGCTTTCAAAGAACAATCAAGGAGGCTACTTTCTAAAAGGAATACCATCATTCACCTCTTTCACCCTAATATTAGGTACAAGATGCCAAGAAGAGCTCTCAGCCTGTCTCTGTACTAGACGATCTTCTCTAGCTCCAGGCAGCTGTGTCCCACATGAGGGGAATATGCAACATGAAAAAAAAAAACCCAGCTAGGTGAACAACATTTACCCTTCTATTTACCTCTTGTTTCACCTTCTCCACCTCCTCGTCATAGATTTTTTTGGCTGGGACGTGGGGGTTCTCCAGTATCCTGTGCTTGACATTCTGAATAAACTGTCTCTTCATCATAAGGTCCACATCTGGCGGGTGGTTGTGCAGGCCTGTCGTCTTGATCACAGAATTCCTCGGGGAATCGTACACCGCCCTGAAGGTGAAAACAAATTGTGATGAATACTGGATTTTTTTTTTATTGAGAGAGACAGACAGACAGACAGACAGACAGACAGACAGACAGACAGACAGACATACAGACAGACAGACAGACAGACAAACAGACAGACAGGGAGGAAGGGAGGGAGGGAGGGAGAGAGAGAGAAAGAGATATGTAAATCTCATGCTATATAATATGTACACTTTGTGTCGTAGTAGCTGGTGAGGGCATCATCAGTTGTTTTTTCCAATGGTAGATCAATAAATGTTATCTAATCTTATAAATTACCGCATTACTTTTGTTTCCCTTTACCGACATAACAAGAGAGAAAAATATAGTATTAAGTAAGAAGTGAATCCATAGAGCTGCCCCAATTTGCCTTTATAAGGTTCAGTTCAATGCTGGTTTTCTGTTTTTCCAACATAACTCTTTCTATAACAGAGGAGCATCTTTTGTTCTGTCATACCAATGTGTTGCAAAAATGTGAAAAGTTGGACCGGGCGCCAGGAAACGCCAGATTCCCAAGCTGACTTTTCAAATAAAGTAAACATGTAAAAAAATCTAATGAAGAGAAAAAATAAGCACAAGAAGATGGTGCGAGACAAAAGGAAGGCATAATACAGACCTGCCACTCTATGAATCTAAAAATCAGGATTTTAGAGTTAAAAAATCAGGATCAGGTGAAAAAAATCAGGATCAACGGCAAATCAGTCATAAGGGGTACAGGGGAAGGGGGATCCTGGTTCCCTTTTATGAGGAAAAAATGCAAGAAAAAACTTTTTGCAGGAATAAGTTCACGTTTGGGCCACTAAATAGAGGGAAAACTGAAAGACAACATTACTCGAGTCGGAGTGGGATAGAGTGGGGGAGCGCAGGTTGCAGTAAAGCTGAAACTCTTGTAGTCTTGAAAATAGCTGACACATAACTCTAATCATCCATGCAAAAAGCCCGTGTTTTCATACAGTAACAACGTTTGACTTCCATCGCATATACACTCAAGGCACCCCCCCCCCCCGAAAAAAAAGATTGCGCCAAGGTTGTTCATTTATTTCTTTTTTCTTATTCCTTTATCCTCACTTAGTAGGTTCTACTTGTATCACGGCACGCACTTTAAGCCCAAGTGTCAAAACAATACCCCCACCCGCTCCCCCCGGTCGTCCTGGTGAAGTCTCGAAAAACACCCCGACCAATGCGACCGGCGTGAATGAACTTTGCTGACCCCGACAGCCGACGGTCCCCGACACACGCGCTATTCACACGTACGAGGTCATGTCACGGGTTGCGAATGAGCGTTTGAAAGTTCCACTGACAGGTCTTGCTCATGCTGATGGGCCCGACTAGCCAGAACTCAAACGAAGCTTGCTTTTAAACCAACGGCAGAACAACAAATAGATTATTCTTAGGCCCATGACATAATTGTTACAGTAATCAGGACACAGTCGGAGAATTCTGTGTTATAAAAGCGAAAGTACATCTTGAGCGTATCCATGTCGGAATTCAAAATCGATACTACGTTGGTTTTAGTTAAAATAACGTGCGTGAGTCATCTACTAGATTCGGCATAGATGCTTTAAAAAGTAGCATTCCAAGTTCCTGCCGATAAAAAGTCCAATCGGTGCTTCCAAGCAAAAGAGATTGCAGAACTTTTAATATTTTTTCTAAGAATCGGACGCAAATGACGCAACGACGCAAATATCTCGAATTCAAGATAGATTGGGATTTTTTTCGCCAAAAGCAGGACAAGTAAACAAACTTTAAGACAGTATTAATAACTCTATATGTCCAAAAACTGACGAACACCTGATTCCACAGCGTCATGACATTTATATGAATTGGCAAAGAGTTAATACTGCTTTTTTTTCTTTGGTAGGAAAAACACACGAGATATACACAATACAGCTGTTTTCAAACAATCATAACACATGTCACATGTACTACTGTGGGCCATTACCTGAAGAAACAGCCTTCCTTCTGGCACTTCCAGTAGGATCTTCCTGACGACCTCACTGCATTCTGGTACAGCAGGCAGTCCTCTATCACAAGCAACTGACAACCTCGACTCGAGGGCAGAAAGTAGAAGTTCACATCTTCAACACTCGTCTTGGATGACGTGGATGCTTTTTCATCCTCGTCTGACAAGTTTTCATTTTCTTGATCCTCTTCCTCTTCTTTCTCTTCTTCTTCCTGCAGGTAACAGAAAGCAAAATCCATGTAGACTACATAATCTATTGTCTACCATAAACTTCTTTCCTGATTTGAACATCAGGAAGTTTATTGAAACAAGGGTTATACACGGAAATTTGGGACAATCAACAAGAACGAATAAATTGCATAACACCAGGTGATGAACTCAGTGCCTGAAAGAGTAAAACGGTGGAGAATCAGGGCAAAAACTCAGTGCCTGAAAGTAAAATTATACCAATAAGTCACAGAAAACTTGTTTTGACTCATATGGATTGTAGTTAAGTTGACGGGTATGGCCTGTCAGCTAGACAGCAGCATTAGTTGAACTTCAGGGGATGATAGCTGCACAGAAAAGAAACAAAAGTCAGCCACATCCAAATGTTGACCAACCATACACTCAAAATAAATAGTGGGGTAAAAAGTTGGCACCAGCTGCTCCATACTCTAATCTTTATTCAACAATAGTGGCACAGTGCACACTGCTGTACTTGAGTGAGACTTGAAGAAAATGATTTTTGAATCAAAAGTGGAGTAAAAGCTCAGCAGCTTTCACTTGAGATGCCTCAAATTATTATGGAATAACAAGGCCAACAAGATTACAAACACAAAGTACCAGAACTGAAAAGACAGAACATTTTAATGGTATTTTCATTTCTCAAAATGAAGGACTCATAAGGTTGGGACACCTTCATTCTATGAATGACGATGATAAAATATAAAGTCTTCATCTATGAAGACATAGAGAAGGAAAGTGAAATGAATACTAAAAGGTGATCTCTACAAACATGCTTGTAAGAAGGACATGACTTCAACAGATATCAACATTAGAACCTGGGAACAAACAGTAGATCTTTACCAATTGAAAAGTTTGAGTGAAGAGCAGCACATCGACACAAGGGTCCTATAGCGCAAGAAAGAAGCAAAACAGATAGACAAACGACAGATCAACAGAAAAGAAGAAGGACCTACCCAGTAGTGCCCTCCAACCACCCAGCCAACTGGAAGAGGGAAGTCAAGACAAATTTCAAGATGAAAAAAGATTGACATCACTACAAAAGGCTAAAATGCAGCACCTAAAGAGGAGCGAGACTGTGTTAACAGAGAGCACAATATCAATTATTTCCTGGAAATCACTGCAATCAGCACCTTCTGACATACTTTGGACTAAGTATCTGTGCATATGCACATCCCAGGATATTTTCACCATCATTCTTCAAGCGCGCAAGCCACTTTAGGCAGTTTTGAGAAAATCAAAGAAAATAAAACTACTCCCAAATCAAAAACATGACTTTGACCCTCGTTATTTTTTCAAATAAAAACTTGGAAGGCAACTACAAAACAAAATGAATCCATACTGTAAGATGCCCTTTAAATCTTTATTTAAAATTATGGTTTTCTCTGGAAACCTCTAGAAATGATTTGAGCAATTGTGGAATAAAGCTGCCGATGATGCTCAAGACATCACCGACACTGTCTTCAGTTCCTGAATTTAATGTAAGTATTGTACAAGCCCATCAACACAATTTAGATAATTTGCTAGGCAAGCTGATTTGATGCCATGTGATGCTGATAAGCTCAGCTGTGCATGATACTATTGATACTAACACTAAATCCCCGAGGAAAACCAGAAATTCAAAAGTAATTATGTTTCCTGTGTGGGAATAGAACTCAAGTCTTTTGGGCACAGCCAGAGACATACAAAAACAACAAAAGTATGGTAAAGATGAAGGACCTGCCAGTGAAACCCTCTAACTACTAGTTATGGCCTGAAAAGAGAAATTAATTGTAAATGTTTTATACCCTTATCTACAACAATAAGATTATTTAAGGGGTGGGCTGCTTCACCCCTGCCTGTCAGGACCAATGTGGGCTGAGATGGATACATCCCAGGTAAAAGAAAGTGATAGCCTGCTCAATAAAATAGACTGGCTCACTCAGGAATTGAACTCAAATGCAAGGGGCCTAACCAATACACCAGACGATGGCCTGAAAAGATTGAAAGGCTCAACAGAATGGGCATACAACAAACACAGTGGAACTGGGGAAGATGCAGGCATCCATCCACCATCAAGTTATTTGCTCCTACTAGCCCTACTCCTACAAAAAAGAAACTTGAAATAAGTTTTTTTTTGGTATCCTCTGATTTGACAAGAGGACCAACAATCAGGCCGTAATGTGCTAAGGTACTAAATTCTAACATGTCTTCATTACAAGAACCATGCACACAGAGACAAGAACATGCAACATAGAAGATGACCCAAGAGGGAGAAACTCAAACGTAAGAACTGTCAGTCAGCATAATGAAAGGAAAGAAATCATATTAATATTATTTAAAAAGCAAAGGTGAGAATGAAATATCATTATGATCCCAGTAACAGTTTCAAGATTGTATAAACCAAATCTGATAAAAGATTTTCTGAAGGCAAGACGGCAGAAATACAATTATACATCCCAGAAACGAAGGACAGTAGTAACATCGGGAAAAGAAATAAAAGCTGATCACACAAAAACACCCATCAAGCGTCCATGTGTCCATGAGAATCAAAGGTATGACAGACAGTACAAATGGATGAACTGTCCTATTTCTTCTGCAAAAATAATTTGAAATCTTCCATGCCATGTCACTACCAGCATTTTAAACTGTTTCCTGTTCTTCAATCCCAGTAATATGAATGCGGGCAACATGTTGCTATTAGGAAACAAAGAGATATAAAATAGATAGCATGGCATTCTCATTACACTTACAGGACACATCCTAACCGTTCAGCTGACCATATCAAGATTGTCTCAAGCTGTATGATGGGATTATACAACAGATCTAGTGTCAAAGGATAAAAGGTTATGATCATCAAATAGTGTAAATGAAGAGAGAGAGAGACTGACCTTGATGATAGGTACATCGTACACTTACAAGGCATGCAAACATCTTACCATCAAACCATAAATCAGCACTCACCTTTTCCACACTGGCTTATTTTGTAACATTATAGTCACCTCAATCATTGAAAAGATCAGATGACCAGCTTCATGGAAAGGACAACATCCTTCAATGTGCTAGTCACTTTCAACTGTGTTTGAAAAGTTCACTAACAATGGCTCAGAGCTATTACCCCCACCCAATAAATAAAAAAATAAGATATAACTCTAAGCCTTGACTACAAAAATATATTCTAGATCAAAACTTGCCCATCATAAGCATGGTTTGATATGAGGTTACAGGAGACCCATCTCTACTAGAGAGTGAGAAGCCATGAAGACTCCCTTCATAAACAACCATTTTTATATGTATGTATTGACAGAGGCCGGAACCAAGGCCATATGCACTGCAGTCCACCAACACTCTGATACTGAAGCAAAAGAATAAACAAGTAAGCAGGCAGGAAATTATAAATTCTTAATATAAGTTTATTGAAAAATCTGGAATAATGCTGATTCCACAAAAAATGTAACTTTTGATATGACTCAAGGCATGCACAGTAAAAATCTACCAGTATTATAGGAATTCTTGCCACTCAGCAATGTCACAACCAATATAAAAATTTCATATTTACTAAATATCGTTATGGAATGCTATAAGTACAGAAGGCAGAAGAATAATTTTTGTGATTTACAATATAATTCTAGTAAAACTTTTATGTTATGCTCACAGTTACCAAAAAAAGTAACACAACCACACATAGCATCAGTCACAACACAAATGCAAGAAAATCAGTATAATTTTCCCTATACACTTCTCACAATCTTTTCAAAAGTATACACAAAATCACTCGATGTATTCTTCACCTGTTCAGAGCTTGGCTGTTGACATGGAATGTCAGTCAGAAACAAATAACAGAGGAAGTTTCCACTACCAATGGCACTACAATCATTTTATTTAGCTTGAGAAAAAGAGAAGGACAGAAAGAAAATGAACTTTATCTTTTTGTGGTTGGGAAAAAACCCAAACAAAGCAACCTGCAATACCTTTTTAAGTTCAGTTTTTTAGTTTTAGTACAGGTTTCACGGCGCTCGCAACTGCATAAGGTTATATGAGTGCCAAGGTGTGGATGTCAACAGAAAAGTCCTTGCAGGGAATCAGACTTACTCTGCTCACCTCTCTAGCTTCAACAGCACAAAGTCTGCTTCGACTATTAAGGCACCCTGGAAATAGTGGGTCACAAGCGTGTGACAAACATACAAAAGAAGAAGAGGAAAAATGACAATAGTAAGGATTAGGAAAGAAAAAGCAGCAGTTCCCTGTTGTAGATCAGGCACAGTTATGAGCATGACATTGATGAATCAGCCCATTTACAATTCTACTGTGCATGAACGAGAAATGTCCCCCCCTTTGGGACTGGCCTAAAGACATTTTTAAGTACATAAAAGGGTTTTAAGAAAGTGTCAACAGAAGAACTTCTAATAGCAGCAGTTAATGGCAACAAGATTCTGACTGAAACATTTTGAATAGACCATTTGCAAATTCAATTACTAAAAGGTTGAATCAAACATAAAATTAGTGGTTTTGTTATGCCAGTTGGTTCATCTTCTAAAGACAGATTTGGCTGGAATGCCTGAAGTGTTCAATTTTCCAACCTAAAAAACCCCAGTAAAGAACCACCTGCTTACCCGAAACGTCTGGGTCTGGATAAAGATGTTTGTGCTATGAGTAGGTTATTTTTTTTAAACTGTAACTGGGTCAAGCAGAATTACTCATCGGAATTAAGGGCAGTAGCTAAAGTTATCAGCTCGCTGTTGTGTCAGGAGAGAAATTAAATTTATAAGGACTAAAACTGCGGAACCTGATACACACTAGGAAAAAAACCCAGTAGACCAATGGACATTTTTGTACTTGCAAAATGAATGAAGCTATGTATCTATTTTTGCTGAATACTTCTTTCCAGTTCAACTTGGGTTGTTAACTGTCTATGCACAGAGAGCATTCAGAGCATAACAAAGATCTGAGAAGGCAAAGCACAAAGCACTTCCAAATCTTATACCATGCTGAGGACAGTGAATGCGCC